CTGTTGTGCAGCACCGCGTGCGCAGTATGCTTTCCGCACGCTCCCGCTTCAATGCACGCACGGCTACGCAACAGATCACGATTGCGCAGTCCTCCGTTGCCTTGCCGCGCTTTTGTTTGCGGATGAGGCGTCACACGTGCCTGAGCCTGGTCGAGCACGCGTGCAGCTAGCATTGCGGCACGGCGGCCTCGGCCTGCGCAGTGCGACACGGCACGTGCCCGCTGCCTACTGGGCTTCATGGGCTGACGCGTTGCGCGTTATAGCCCGGCGCGACCCCGACTTCGCGGCTCCCTCGCCTCTGACCGGCCACGCCCGTTGGCGGTGCAATCGGCATGAGACGCCCGCGATTCACTTTCTGCCATCGGCTTTGAGCCTCCTGCATGGGTGGAGTTGCTGCATGCTCCGGTGTCAGCTCAGCCCGAAGAGAACCCGTCCTTTGACTCAACTCGCGGTAGGCAGCGCCCGGCGTCCCAAGCCGTTGACAGCTTTTGCCATAGGATCCATATAGGGCCTTTCTTCGCGAAACCGACGCTGCTTCGGCCGCCCTGCTGGACTCGCAGGCTGGGCCTCATGCGGCGCGCGTTCTCACCACCCGTCCCACCTTGCCGGAGTTCTCGTTGGAGTCGCCGCTCTTCCGTGCACCATCCTGTTGCGCAGACTTCGCTTGCCCTTGCCCCTAACTTCTGCCAGATGCCGTTGCCGCGCACACCTCGATCCTTGTGCCGCCTGCCCGCGTTCCGGCCTTTTGCGGTCGAGGGGCGGCCCCCCTCGAGCGTGCTGCTGCACGGGTGTGCAGAGAAGCTGGGGCAGCGGTCGCTCTCAATGTGCTTGTCAGGGATTTGAATGTCGACCCAGTTCGCCAAAACAACCGACGCATTGAGGTCATCGCCAATGGCCTACCGCTTTGGGGTGGCGCCCAGCTTGCAGTTGACACCACGCTCGTCTCACCCCTTACTGCTGCCAGCCTCCCGCTCAGGGCTGGTGGCCGTACTGCCGGAGCTGCCTTGCTCACTGCTATACGAGCGAAGGAGCGGACCTACCCCGAACTGTGCAGGTCCAACCGCTGCAGGCTCACAGTCCTCGCTCTCGAGGTTGGGGGGCGTTGGAGTGCCCAGGCCGCGACCTGTGTCCGCTTGCTGGCAAGGTGTCGGGCACGGTCCGTGCCCTCACCCTCACGCGCTGTCGCCATCTCGGCTTTCACTCTCCGGTGGTCTGCGCTCCTTTCCTTTGCAGCTGCGCGCTCCTTCGCAGCCAGCCTGTTGTCTTTGCCCCTTATAACAGCAAATGTTGACGGGGAGCTCCCACCTTTGAGCGACATCTGCGCCGACTCGCCTTCCCAACCCCCGCTCGCCAGCCGGGTGGTGTGACTGCGCTCTGCGTGCGCCGCCTGCCGCTTTTTGCTGTAGACTGTTGCCCTGGCTCTGGCTTTGCACAGGGACTGCGCTGCTTTGGACGGTGGGAAACAGGTCCGTGGGGGAAAACAAAAAAGAAAGAACAAAAAACAACTATCTGCCTTGCTGCTTGCCCCCGGCCACGATCCGCTGCCCGCCCAACCGGCGCGAGCAGCGCATCGCATTGCGCTTTGGGGGACTCGGCCTGTGCACGGCTTAGGCTGACCGACACGCTGCCTACGGGGCTTCCTGGATGGACACCTTGCCGGTCATCCAAGCCCGTGTGCCCTCTGCTGCGGAGCGCTGTTTTTTTTGGAGACGCCTTTTTGTTCCTGCCCACTTCCTGTCCGGTCAGCAAGGCCTACGGAAGCCCAAGGCCTACACGCTACTGCTACGCCTAGGGTCGCAGCGGCAGGCGGCTCAGCCCTTCGGCCTCGGCGAGGTCGAGTATGTGGTCGAGCGGTTGGCCCTCGACGCTGGTGGCATGCGGTGGCTGGGGCCACGGCTGGCTGAGGGCAGTGAAGGCGCCGCCCGCTTGCCGTCGCTCCTTGCAGCAGCCCAAGCCGCGGCCTACTTAGCAGATCTTAGCAGCACAAGGCTACATACACAGTGCCGCCGTGGAATGAGGACACGACGAGCCCGCCGATTTCCTCCGCGGCTAGCAACGCCAAGCCTCCCACGCCTGCAATGAGCGCACGCTCGAGCCTCCCTCGCCCTGGGCGCTGGTAATCTCCCAAGTCCCAGGCTGGGCCGGGCCGCACGCAGGCCGAGCTTTCACGGTCTTGCCCACATCGGAACACGTGCCGACCTTCCCTCCACACATTGTCGTAGACAGTCCACGACGCGGTCCCAGTGCAGCAGGCCCAAACCAAACCCAACACGACACCATACGGCGGCAAGGCCGGGCTTGTAGGCGCGGGGGTGTTCGTTCAAGGATGCGGGGGCAGACGGCTGGCAAGTGGCGGGGTCTCGTGTCGAACCGAGTCGCGCCCAGCGCGCTCCTGCTGCCCTGCGCGGTGCCGCTACCCAGGGCTGGCTGCGCCGCTGGTGGTGCCTGCTCAGTCTTGCTTTGCAAAGCACACTTGCTGCAACACTGCTCGGCACGCCGTACATCGCTGGGGCCATGCCTGGCTCTCAGCTCCCCACGCCCGGGGACGTCCTGCACGACGCAGCCCCCCCCCACCCCGAGCCGCCTGCCGTACTTTGCAGCGTGCACGGGGACCGGACTCTTTTGCGCGCGTGGGAAAAAAAAGTCGAGGAGAAGACCTCGCTGAGCAGCGGCTGGTCGCCGTCGACATTGGCAGTGCCGGCAAGGGAAGGACCAAGCAGACTGGCACCAAAGGCTCTGGCGGCAGAAGAGGATAGAAGAGGCGAGCAAAGAAGACCGTCGGGAGGTGAAGGCTGCTACGGTTGCAGGTCGCAACGGGCGAGGCACGGCATGGGGGCCGGCAGCGAGCGAGGCGGCGGGCAAATTGGGCAGCCTCGGAACTCCAACGGCCTCCGACCTCAAGTGCAAGGGCACCACGCCGGCACCTCTGCGAGCGCAGTAGCTCGGTACTGTCGCCGGTGCCGGCGCTCAGCTCCACAGGCATCGGGAAGGGACACATGGGGTGGTGTCAACAGCGAGCTGTGCTCCGCCCCAAAGCGGGAGTCCATTTGCGATGCTGCGGTCATCGAGGCGCTCAGGGTGGATGTCGAAGTCACGCACGAGAACATATTGCAGGCGACGATAGCCCCGGCCTCGCGGCAAACTCGAGCCGGAGGCGGTGTTGAGCAAGCGAGAACAGAGCGGGCATCAGCGGATTTCTTTGTTCTCCGCATTTCTCCGCCCTCAGCTTGCGCGTTGCTGTGGGAAGCCCCTTGCCCATCACTCCATGTGTAGGTGCTGGCGACACCGTAGAATTGCCGAGCGTAAGGGACGAGCGGCCGAAACTTTGGGCAAGCGTGCAGGGCCGCCCGCATTGCCTGCCGAGAAAAATGATCACAGGCTCGACGGACAGGATCGTTGCACGAGGGTCGACGACAGTTGAGCCCTTAAGACGCGTGGCAAAGCCTCAGCGTCAGCAAGAGTGCGAGGCCGTACTGGTAAGGCAGTCAGGCAGGCAGTTTCGAGTCGCCGCGCGTAATATCTGTCTGATGTGCGCCTATCTTTCTGTGCGCGCTGCCTGCGTCCAGCTGCCCAATAGCAGATGATGTTATCTTACTTCAGCTTCAAAGAAATGTTCGAAGTAATTAGTATGGTGTCTGTTGAAGCTTTCTTTAAATTGTTGACGCTGCACTGGTTCTTTGTGCTGCCCCACAGATAGCCTGCAGATACATCGTATACATGCTTCGGTGACAATACAAAGTCATGCCGGAAGTGGAAGCTGCGCTGGCGCTGTCCCGTCATTATGCCCGCTCGGCTTGCCCGCGCCACGGGCGTTTTTGTTGACTCCACGAGGTCCAATAACAAGCCATTTTAAGGTACTTGCGCGGACATTGTCCGACATAGCGGGTCGCTTGGGAGGGGAACCCGGTGAGGGCGACTACTGTGCTTCCTCAGCTGAGGCAACCCGCGAGACTTCTCAAGGGTCACGCCCTTGGGGACAATTCACCAGACAGAACCGGCAGCAGTCAAAGTGGAAGGGTCGACCTGGAGACAAAGCTTCGGCGTGCTGCTGCAGAGGACCCTACATGGTGCTTATGTTGAGTCATACTGAGGCACATGAGGAAAGGCTGGATAGCCGCTAGATGCCGCTAGCCATCTGGAGATGCTTTTCAACTACCCAGACCGATGACCCACATTTGTGAGGGTGGTAAAACTGGACCTCCGCTGGACGCCGAACCCTTCAGATTTCAGCCAAAACATCCGGCGCAGCCGGGCATTGTATCAGAAAATGTCAGAAGCTGAGCCATTGGCGGCCGGCAGTGACACAGAAGTTCACCAGACAAGACCTAATGTATGTGGTGGTAGCGGTTTCAGGAAATCGTTTTCACGTGCGCATTTTACTTTATTGAGATGCTGAAGAAAATAAAAAACACACCGGGCCAATGTATCAGTCCCGCTTACAAGGGCAAGCGATGCAATAATTGAACGTGTGTCGCGCTGTCGTGTGCAGGCGTTCCAACGTCATGGAGGCCTTCGAGCAGTCGTTGTTATTCAGTTCTTGCCAAGTTCTTGCACCGGGTGTGTCCGAGAGCAGCTCGCAGTGGCAGGTGGAAACAACATAGTGTTTTTCGTGCGCCTTTGTCCCCTGTAACAGCTGGTGCCGTGGACAACGAGATGCTGGAAGCAGTGGCATGTCAGGCAGAGTGGGGTTGAATTTTGAAAACAGTTGCAGTATTCAGTTGCTGCTGAGGCTTGCGAGGTGCTGGAAGCTCACGAGGGTACGGACAACGACACCCAAAGTACGACAGAGGTGCCTGTGATGTTCGCTTCCATGCAATTGCATGGTTCATCGCGCTATTGCTTTATGGCCGCCCAAGCGTGATTGTGCAGCCAGCACACATGAGCTTTCGTTTCACTTCGGGCATAGCATGTCATGACCAGCAGCACCAACAAAAGCATTCGCAGCATCCACCAGTTCGAGTTTGTCGATGGACTGCCCCGCGACATGGTGGAAGATATAGATGGGAGGCCCGCTGTGCACACAACCTATCATCCCGTTGGTTGTCCGAGACCCTTAGGAACTGCTGCTATACGCATACATTGCTGGGTCATGCCTGATTTCAGGAAGCATTGGATTCTGCGGCCGTAGCGACGTTGAGAAATGCAGGCCCGCGGTGCATCCCGGCATGTCAGGTTCAAAGGACATGAAAGCACATCAGACAACCAGGCGATGCTTTCCGACCCGTTGCGCCGTCCCTTTCGTGCTAGGTCGTTGGATTGCAAGCCGCGCGAGCATCCAGATGCTGCAGGACATGCATCAGTTCCACAAGTCTTACTTGTGCTGTTTCATCCGGAGTTGAGATGCTTGCTCCTTGCTATCTACCGATGTTGTGGAGGAGCTCCCCCGGCAGGGGCTATATTCGCAGAAACCCTAGCCGGGTTGAACGAGGCATGTGCCATTGTATTACATATTTTGTATGGTATATTTGTTTGACGGGGTCATGCTCGGGTCACTCCTATTCTTGTTGAATTCTGAAGTTTTGACGTGCCTACACCTGCGTCGTAGGCATGAAAGTCATTTGAGGCACCATGCGGGCTGCCGGGGCAGCAGTTTAGATGCGATGCACATGTTTGGTTTCCAGCAGCTCCGTCCGGCGGTCGGGACGGCAGGGTCCCAGATTAGGGCCGAGTCACGTGTTCATGCAAACTGGTTGTGCTGCAGACGAAGACAAAGGAGGCGCAATACAAGGTGCGGCAATCAAGCGGTTGTGTAGTAGTCTACACACCTCGTCATGGCTTTGGAAACCGTTCATGCATATGCCCGGATAGCACTTGAAGAGCGATCTCGCTGACTCGGGAACAAATTGTTTCCAACCGAAGATTGCTTTGGCGTGGAGCCTGGCGTATCCACTTTCCACAATTCGACCATCGGTGATAGGAATGTTTGTGACCAAGGGTATGCACAGAACACGCACACTGCTGTGACTGATTCACTACGTGACAATGTATTTTTGGTAGGCATGTTGTGCTCGGCCATGGGGTCGGAGCTTCTAGGGATATCACGACGTTGTGGAACACCTTGATCATTGGCTACGCAACTCCCTGCTGTTCGCAGGTAGATCAGCAGCTGCTGCTATTCTGTTCGAAGGGGCAGTCGGCCGCTGTTCGATGGCTCTTGCGATTCGGGGCGGATGCTGGCGCAAGAGATTGCTGCTTGCCAGACCCAGGCTTTACAGATGTTCGGGTCATGCAAATCAAGTTGCTCATGTGCTACCTTAGGGGCTGGGTCTTCGGGTCACGAGTCGCTGAGGTAATGGCACGACAGGGCTGCATGCCGCTTGCCGCAAGGGGAGCTTGCGGGTCGTGCAGGCTTTGCTGGACATACCTGCGACTGAGAGGCGCGGGCACACTGAAACCGTTCAGCAGTCTTTGCAGTTGGCGGAGTGATGTTTCTTTTGATTGTGCGACTTGAAACACCTTGTGCACAGACATGTGCAGATCTATGTATCTGTCCTTCTGTTTACCTATCCGTCGACCCATCGATCGATCTATCTATTTATGTATCTATTCTCTTGATATGTCGATAGGTCCGAGAAGAGGTGCTAGGAAATGCTCATCTTTAAGCAAAACGACGAACAACACAAGAGCGGAAAGATCTGTTTGTGGGATTTTTGGGCAGAGATTGGGATTTTCGTAGAAAGTCAACAGAGTTCGGAGTCTTTGTCTGCGGCTTTTGCGTCTCAACCTGGAATTTTGCACTGACGGGTGCTCTTCTTGCTGAAGCCGCGCGCTTGTGGACAAGCGAGTGACCTGTCACTCCTTCTTCGCCTTTGTGGAGCTACCCCCTCGCCTGTGTCGACGCTAGGGTGCTTCACTACAACCACGAACGAGTAGAATTTCGCGTCTCTTTCATTGATTCGAAACTCGTCGTCTTTAGTGACTAGGGTGTTCTGTAGTAGGATCGCAGCCGCGGCGGTGCGAGAGGGAAAAACCAAGCACAAAACTGGCATTCCCATGATTTTCGCTGAACATGAAGAGGCCTCAACCTAGGATTTGGCGCCTGAATCCAATGTTTTTCACGACTCGTTTTCTTCTATGCGGTTCCTAGTTAACACAATTCTGGGAAACAATGACCAGCGGCGGGGGGAATGATGTGCATTTCTTTGAAACTGAGCGGAAAAAGTTACTGCTTGTAGTTCTCTGTGTCCCAACCCAGGATTTCGTGCCAAATTCTACTGTTTCGTTCTATTTGTCAAGAGCTGTTTTCCCGAACATGTCCGATTTCTGTTCGAGAAATAGATTGTTACTGTTCAGAACCTACTGTAGGTAGCACAAACGTGCTTAGCAAAGGTGGACGCACACGCAAACATGTTGCTTGCCCTGCCAGCTCTCTGCCGGTGAACATCGCCGATGCTTCCGGATGGACGCCGCTACATGTCGCCGCGTGCAATGGCCGCCAAGCGGTTGCAGCCGTGACTTTGAAGCAAACTTCAGAAAGATTTTGTCAGCTATAGGGCTTGGAGATACTGAGCACATCCCTCGCCATATAGTCGTCGCAGCATTTTTTGAAGACGAAAGGCGGGATAAACTGAGGCCCTTCTGCGATCTCATGCTGATGCAGCAGCACGGACCAAAAGTGGACAAGTTGCACTGGAGCTCTGCGTGGACGCTCTGCCTGCATCACTTGATGACCAAAAGCTAGGAGGCAGGCAGGCAGTCAGGCAGGCCAGGGCGACACTCGACATTCAAACTGCCACCATCATGCAGCACAGGTCCTCACAAATCTAAGCTCCCCCAAAAGTGATTCACGAAACTCGCAATCTCCAGGACTCGGCGACGAAGTCGCTCCTGATGCTGCGCAGAGAGGACGCTGCAAGTCTTGCGGGCGAAGTCCCGGAAGCGTTAGAACTCTGGATGCTTACATCTTTTATCCTTTTCTGATTCACAACACCTGATATTGGTTGGTGTCTAGAATTTCTGACACAAGTGGAGGAATGTAAGGGAATCATGACTGAACGATGGTGACTGGGTGTTTGGAGCACCAGAGTGCGTTTTTCTACTAAGCTGAATGGTTGAAAGAGAGCGGGGCTCTTCAACAGCGTGGCCTTAAATGCATTCCCCGACTCCCACATGGGGTATCTGCGCATGCTTCTTCAAATGAACTCGGGCAGTGTGTTGGGTCAGAACAAACGGGGGTGGTGCAGCCATAGCCTTCTACAGTTCCAAGGGGCTTTCCAAGAGTTCCAAGAGGCGCCGGGCATCTCCTCTGCCAAGTTCTGCTACCCTACCCTGCAAGGCTATCCTTTTGAGTCGTTGATCTCTGCAGGTTGCGAACCGTGTAACCCCAATAAGTAGGCAGATGGAGATGCGCTTGGCAGGACTTTCCTGGTGTGACTGGTGGGCCTGCGGCCCTAGAAAAACACCTACCTAATGCTGCAGACATGGCAGACACGCCCTCGCAAGAGTCTCAAGGCCTGCCGCTTCATGTGCAGGTGGCGAAGCAAGACAACAAACAACACAACGCTTCTCCAATCTGGGCAGGTGACCCAGATGGCGAGACAATACGCAGCTCCGCTGTCTCCAGCAGGGAGGGCGGGAAGGTTGCAGCAAGAAGGTCACGACTCTGGAGCATTAAGATGGAGCATACAGCTCCAGACTTAATCACTTAATCCTGCATTCCGAGAGCAGCTTGAAGCTGAGGCTACGAACCTTTCTTTGTCCCACGAGAGCCGCTCATTCCGGCTGGAGCCAGAGACAACGATTTCCTGGCCCTTTGTGACCGAGCTTCAGATGAATAGACAGTTTGCGGGGAGTTTCAGTTAGTCTTGAGTTTGAGGGTTCTGGGCGGAGCTGGAGCTGCCGGGACTTAGCCACATTGTGTGAAAGCCTGCTTGGCACTCAGGCGTTTCGCAGCGCTGTTTCAACTCACAAGCTGGGCGGGGATTGGCATTCCTTGTAGCAGGAAGCTCAGATCAATGCAAAGTGCACTGCCTGGTTTGCTTCCGTTGCATGCTGAGATATCATGCACCTCCCTTGCAAGGCGTCGGGCACTGTGCGTGATCGCCCCACCTGCATGGTCGATTACTGGCGAATGAATCGGCTCCGTGCTCCCAAAATCATGACATCAGAGCAGTTTCCGTACACGTGTCAACAAGATGAGCTTGGGTCTTCACAGTCCATGCCCAATCTTCAGGCTCTCTGCCGAGCAGATGGGCCTGCTGCTTGACGAGAGGTTACACGTATACGACAGCAGCAGTCTATTCCCGATCAGCCAGCGACCCCAATGACCGCTCACCGTTTTGTAAATGCAAAGCAAGTACTTAACGGTCATTGACGCATAGCTGTTTAAGCAACGCTCGCCATGGCGAGTGCCGCATAGTGCCACACTATACCCCTGATCTCATCTTCGGCCCATGGAACGATCTCGCAAAAGACTAGACCGCACCACTTGCACATAGGATTAACAAAGACTTTCGCGCGTTTGGAATTTTGATTAGTCCCTCTCCCCGGTGTTGCGCGAGGAGAGTGTCCGAAATCGGAGGGTTGTCCAGAAAAGGCTGGTGGGGGCTGGACCTGAACAGGTTGAATTGAATGCGTGTGCGCGCGCGATGCAACACGCGAAGAGTGATCGGCATGAAAAAGCAGACTGCCATCTCGAGAAGATCAAAGTTAGGTACTTGAGCGAGGACTTCTCGCTTGCGAAGATCTTGCGAATGGAGTACTTGAACTCGATCCGTTCTTGGGCTGCACAAGCTATCACATGATCCTTCTCGTGTGTTGTTTTATGGGTTGTCTTTTGGATAATGGTAGTGGGCACTTGCTGCAGGTGCCGAGGATTTCGCACTTTGTGTTGCTATCTGAGTTTGGCAGACCAAGGCTTTGTGAACACTGGGGTGATGGCAGCGTTGTGTTTTGCCTTCTCGGAGATCGCCCTTCCGTGGGACTTGCAGAAACTTGGCACGAAGTACGAAGGAGCATCTTCAACTTTGCATGAGTTGGGGTTGTGCCACAGTAGTTTCTGCTGATGGGCTCGGCATGGTTTGCCTCTGCACTCGACAGATGGCCCTGGCTCTTGCTTTCCTGGGAAAGGTGCTTGGACCGCATAACGTGGAGCTTGGCGGAGGCCTTCCGGCCCACCTTCTGAAAGCCACCAAAGTAGCAAAGCCTGTCAGCGCGGCCTTCAGATGACTGCTTTGGGTAATTCATTTCTCGCTGACACTCTATCTGCTTTGCTGGACTTTGGTTTGGAGGTTTGGGTGCGCCAACACCTCCGATCACAAACGAGCCGTGCCTTCACAGATGAATCTTGCGTACTAGCACATCAGCTGATGCAAGAGGTTGCCGAATCCACCAGTGTCCAGAGGGTAGCTGTGCAGGATGCATCTAAGAATTGAATGTTCTGAGGAGAGAAGGTCCGCTGATGAGCAGCAGCCGCGAGCTGGCGGGCCAAGCCTTGTGGGCGTGACTCTGCTGCCATCAGACCGAAGGCAGGACTTCTGACAGTACCGCCATGTCCGGCCCAAGACTTGTTGCCCAGGCAAGTTATGGGTGTGGACATTTTGCACGAGCTTTTCTTCTCGGAATCCTGATGCAGAAATGGCTGAGACATGCCCAAGACAGTGTGAACATGCCGGAGCACTGCTGCGTGTCCTGGCAGTAGAATCTGAGACCATCATGCTGCACTGGAACCACTACGCTGACCTGCCTGACTCGCAGCGCGTGCTCCTGCAGGACTGGGTTGCTCCTTGGTGTTGCACGAATCACATTCGCCACTAACCTTGCATGCATATGCTTGCCCTGGAAATGATGCATCGTACCGCAGACACAGTCAAGAAGGCTCTGTTCTCAATTTTGTCGCTAAGGACATGCACCGTGCCGGGGACAATCAGACGCCACGGCAGCAGTTGCAGGGGTTCGTGTTAGGCCTGCGATTCCTTCAGCACTTTAGCTCCAGTTTGGAGCAGCGTGTTCCCTGGGGTCGAATCCTAAACCTGGGACGACCAGGATCATTTCCTCAATAGTGCTGGCGCCCATCTACGAGGCAAGCGGTTTAGGTTTTGATCTGGATGCTGTACCTGGGCCTGTAGGGCCTAGAGCATAGGCGCCGGAGGACGTGTTGTCGGACGCTGAGCCTCCAAATTTCCGTGGTGGCTCGGCCTCCCGAAGCCAGACCTGGAGAAAAAGCACGTAGATTGGGCCAGACGGCAGGGCCAGGCCGAAGCAGCATACTGTGGGCAGGAGTGAGAGGGCTGCAAGACGAGTCCAGGGAGTAAGTGCAAAGTTTCGGGACGAGGACAGCACTGCAGACGCAACGAGAAAGGAGTTACAGTTATGTGTTCAAAAACCGTTTTCCACGCTCATTCGATTCCACCCCGTGGGGTAGAAACTTTATGAGGCGGCTGGTATGCTACGATAGAACGGTGACAGATTCCTGCTGAGACGTTTTTGGCAATCCGCCCTAATCTCACTTCAGAGATGTGCAGTTGCCACCAACCCTTTTAGATAGTATCGTGACGACACCTTAGGCCTTAGGAAGTATCACACGATCTGGGCCCAATGCAACACTGCTGAGATTGCAGAGAGTCTGCGGAGCTTCTGACCCGTGCTGCATGAATATTGGAAATGTCTTAGCCCGACCGGCATGTCGACACAGGGAGAAGTACGATCAAATGCTTGACAGAAGTCTCAAGTTTTTGTGTGTCAGCAAGAACATGCCAATAGCGGAGAGTGATGAACTCGGCTGCTGCATGTAGCAATGCAGCAGGGAGTTCCAGCGAGCTTATGAGGAACGTTAACTTGTCGTCTAATGCCCCTGACATGTGATTTATCCGGTTGTTTTCTATGAGTTGTCAGATGGTGAGCAACTGGAAATGGGAGCCGTTGCAGATTGGGAAGCCGCGGAGCAGCCGAGATGCAAGCAGAAGTCGCCTTTCGATGTCGGCTTGGCAGGAACTTGGAGTTTGTGCCATGTGCAAAGGTCTAGAAACGAAGAGTCAAGATGGTATCAGATCGCTGTTCGATGGCGTGGTGCCCTTGCAGAAGTGAGTGGGCAATGGCAAGCCATGTGCTGTACCGACGTTTGCAGTTCAGAAGTTGCTCTCCGCTGATGACTTAACGACTCGTCAGGCATCTGTGGAGGGATGGGCATATGCTGTTGGCGATGACTTCTTGTCCCACGTGAACGAGACTGCGCAGGGAAGCATCGAGCAGGAGCGTATTCACGAAGCGCTTGGATACGTCTGCGTCTCGTCTGTGTGGCTTGTTCGGGCTGCTGCGAGGTAGTGATAGACATGACGGACCATCTAAATGAGTTGCCTTTCGAGATCTTTCGAGTGTACTAGGTATTGAGAGCTGTGACGCCACGGGGCAATCGTCTCAGCATGTCGGGTCGTTTGTTGCAACACGTAAATGACCAAGGCGAGGGTACATTTTCGGCACGAGTTCCCATCGCGCAGAGTGCGGTGGCCGCCCCCATAAGCCACGCCATGAAGGCACATAGCTGGGTACAAGGTCGCTGCTCACCTCTGTTTGGGTGCTGCACTCTATTTGCCCTTTAGGTCGGCCAGTGGCCTTTGCAGTCGCCTGCAGCATCCCGTGATTTCCCTTACGTCAAACGTCAAAGAACTAGACATAAATGAAGAGGGCTTTCGAAGTCATGCCATCCGGCTGTCTTTGACGGTCTGTGCAGGCGGTGCCCATGGAAGATTCTACGTCCGGGATGCACTTCTCTTCAGATGCTGCTGCCATTGCAAAGCCTCAGGGTGTCAGCCGAAGCACGCGGACTTCCCGCTGGCTATGAACCCTATCTCCCTCTGCATTGCCGTCCACGCCGATAATGTGTGACGGTTACACAGACGTCCCCTCGCCCCAGCAGCGTCCGATCTGGTGCGCGAGTCCTGATATGAAAGTGTAGGCTGTGCAATTGTTGTCTTCGAGTATGAAGGAAGCGCATGATAGTGCATGGACTAGGTACAAGCGGCACAGGTCCCGTTGCCAGATCTCAGGTTTGGATTTCCCTGTGTGGCCCGCTTCTTCTCTTGTCTTTCGATCAGGCCCGGAGCAGCCTGGATAGTCTTTGGATGTCTCTGGCAGTGCAGAAGGGCAATGCGAGAGCTGTTGTGCAATGCAGGTGACCTGCCCGTTTGCCTTCATGTATTTGGGCAAGGTTCAGCTGAGGGACATCAATCCCGGCCGAGCGCTGCTCCTCTGTCTGGTTTAAACTTCTGCTCTGCCCGGCGACTATGTGAAAATCGGGGGGGGGGGGGGCAACAGGATTTGGCAACAGGATTTGTTCAGATTCGCTCAGAGTCTGCCGAAGGTTTTCCTTGGAAGCCCCACAGCAAGGCGACGAGACTTCAAGGCGAGGCTTCCGCTGCGCTTAGGGCTCTCAGGGAAGTGAAGCCTCGGTCGCGGGGTAGCATTACCAGCAGCTTTCGAGGGGGGCGATGTCAGGCTCGAGCTGGTCTTACTGCTGCCAGATGCGCGATGGCACGTTTGTTCACTGCAAAAGCTCCTCAGCTCGGACCTTTGCGTGGCGACATAACTGGTGTTTGAGCCTGTGCAGAGGAACTGGGAGCGTGTCAATTGCTTAACTGGTATTCTGCTGTCTTCTGGCTTTGTTGACCAAGCTTCCGTGCTGCGAGTTGTAAGGCTAGTCTTGCAGCTTACTGATGCGACACTTGGCCTGCAACGATGACTTCGCATAGCTGGTGTCCCTCCCAGTTTGGCAGTCACCTATGACGGATTGCTTCGCTGACTTGCTTGCCATGTTGCATCTGCTGCATGTGATGACTTGGGTGTTAGCATGCTATGGGGTGTAATTTTGGGCCGGCAAGACAACTCCCCGCCTAGAGTGACCGTGCTCTGTGCTGCACGGTTCCATGCCCCAGTTGGGTTTGGTAGGCCCTGGGCCCATCTTCGGCCGCTCTTGGGCTGGTTGATGCTGGTTGATGCGGTAGACACTAGAGTATGAGATTCACGAGGGTCTTTGGGCTCCTCGAGCTCGGAGTGCTCTGCCCCTGGATGGCGATTTCGAACGGACGGATGATCGGGCAACGCTTTGTCCTTTCCGGCTTTTGGGAGAGCAGGCTAGGCGGCCATGTGATTGAAAATGGAACTCCCCGCTCCAGGAGGGTGCTATCCTGCAAGCCTTTCCGACACATTTCTGGACACAAATTTGGAACACATGAACCGCTGTAGATGTATTTTGCAAGTTCAGTGGTGGTTGCTCTGCTCTCTTATCTCGAACCCCTGTTCTGCTTTCACGTGCTGAAAGTAGTCGTGTCATCACTGAAGCAGCAAACTGGAAGTGTACAGCAGTCGGGCGCTTCAAGTTAAAGTTTTCAATGCAGTAGAGGACGTCACAGACAAGACAGCCCGACTTCGGCAGTTCAGGAGACATCTGAAGGATTGGATCGCCTGCTTCGCCGACTTGGCTTTGATGACAGGTATCGGCCTTAATTCCCAAGCTGCACCACTTGTTGGCGTGACTGCGTGTTATGCCATCATGCATCGCCAGACGACCTTTCGTGCTGAAGGTTCGAGCACTAACAGCATCCCTTTGAAGCAGATCTGAGACACGTTCGCCCTTCCACTTTTAAGCGCCAAGAGCGCCGGCGTTTCACACATGCACAACAAAGTGCTCCAAAGGACTCGAGCGCTTCGCTCGTGCATGGACGAAACAGCTTCTCTTCTTGCCTCTGCTGCTATTGAACCTTGGTGCATGGGCGGACCCTCGAAGTAACGGTGATGCACATGCGCATGCCTCAGATACTCTCAAATGTTGCATGCTTCGGCAAGGCCCTGGTGCAGGCTTTGACTCCGCTGCTGGAGGAGGCTGAGCATCAATCTTCTCCTCCATGTCGACGGTCTGTTTTGCCCGTACAGCTACAGGAGTAATGGCATGCTTCCTGCCGTTTCGGATCCAAGCACGATGCAGGCTACATCTTGAGCACTGGGGATCATGGAGGGGTACGTCTTCGCAGTTGGTTTGAAGGTGCCGTATCGTGGGCAACTTAAAGTCACGGGGTCTGGAAATGCTTTGCCACAGCCGTACATTTCGTCCGTGAAGTCAAGAACGAGAGAGCACATGTTCCATCGAAGATCGCGGATCTGCCATGGAGTTCTCCCGTGTGCTGGCCCGATCAATGAAGCAGAGCCCCAGCTTATTGTTGAGATTGCATGCGCGAGTGAAGTAAAAGCAATTCCGTATCATGACCAGCTAATGCTCCGCTTGAGGCCCCCTCCTTACTTGCCATTCAGTTGGTGCCTGCTTCTAGCACGTATCAAACATCCGTTCAGTTGAAAGTTGCGGACGTGAGTGGAGGAAGAGGAGGCCCCCACCGCTGCCCCCTCGCATACAGGGTCTGTTGAGTTTCAGACGCGTATGACCAGACGACTTCCATAAAGAGATGCAAGACAGCCGTCAGCTGATCTTTTCTGCCAGAGGCCCACCTGCGTGGTCATACTGCTGGGGCTTGGTGCAGTTGCTTTGCTGGGCAGTCTGGAGCTTCTGTGGCAAGTAGAGGCGCTCGAACAGTCTTCGGGTGAGGCCTCACCCTCCAGCATATCAAGTCGATTTTTTGTTCCTCTTACTCGTTGTTCTCCCTGCAGGTTCCGAACACCTCAGAATATGGTTTATTATCAGAAGATTCGCGTCTCGATCGTTTCTCTAAGCACTGCTTGGCGGAAGTGGCTCTGGCAGAAGAATCTGTGGGTCCCCAGCCAGCGGACTGGAAACTGCACAGTGCTTTGGTCATGGCAAGCCACGGAGAAGCGAGTGCAAGGCAAGGCTGGCCCGAGGATCCAAAGCCGCCCTCCACTTGGGACTGTCGCCCGACCGACTTGCCACGGCACTGGCACCTGAACCAGCAAGTCCATTTCCAAGCCGTGGCTGAGGATGGAAGCCGTGTTTTGGACCGAAGCTTCGAGCCAGATCTCCTCGCAGAGGGGGCCCCGCCGGGAGATGCAGGCGAGCCCTGGGCGGGCAGGAGTTGCGCAGCCCAGCAGCTGACATCCGATGGTTTCAAGCAAGCGGTGCTTCTTGGAAGGCGCCTCCAATGGCAATACAGAGAAAGACTTGCAGAGGCTGCGCTCGACGTCTCCAGCGTGGACACCAAGCGCTCCTTGGCGACGGCCCTGGGGATTCTCTTGCCTCTGGCCTCCTCCGACGTTGGGGAGGGTGCCACGGTGTCCATCACCACACTGGAAAGCTCCGAGACCCTTACAAGCCTTAGAGGCGAGATTGAGTCTGCGCTTGAAGACATGCAAGCTGGTGCTGACCTTCTGTGCAGATGGTGCAACCATGGCAGCCTGCCGTGCGATGCTGACGGTTGCATGTCGCCCAGGGCAGCAGCGGAGCTAATTGCCAAGGGCGAGTTGCAAGTCTGCCAAGCACTGCTTTCCGACTCATCTCTGGCGCCTCAGCTCGCAGAGCGTTTGCAGCAGACGGTGCTGAGTCCGAAAGGTCAGCTGTCAGTGCTGAGCGTCTCTGGCATTGACCTAACTGCTAGCCTCGTCCAGCTCTTGGGCAGAGAAGCCTGTGAAGATGCATTGATGGCCCGGCCGCCATGGTCTTCTTCTTTGGTATTCGCAGCTTGCCAGATTTGTTGGTTTTTGTAACATGTTTTTCGATTTCACATGCAGTGCAAGTTGACGTGATTCCCAGGAGCACTTTCGAAGCAACCGTTCCCAAGCGCTGTGGCGGGTATTCTGGAATGGCTTAGATATCACACAGCGCTTGGCAGGTTGCGATTTGCAATCTGGCGGTTGCTTAGAAGAGAGCTTCTTCAGCTTGCTCAAGAGCAAAACAATGGGGAACATGGGAAGGAGGAATGCAAACAAGTCACATCATGGACGGATGACGCCACACCACAAGTCTACGCATTCGCCCTAGGATAACTGGATGTTTGCCGTTTTGTATGCCGCGGTGTTCTCGGATGCTCTCATTGTGCCTTGTCGTTTGTCTTTTCATCAGCGTTTGTCTCCTCCTCCTTTCTCTCGTACAAACCCATTTAGGTGTGCGTCTGTAGCTAGACGTGTGTGTGGCTATACTTCTGAATGCTTGTGTACCAGGGCCTAGAACCCTATGTGTGTACGTATTATGTATATATATATATATATATGCGTGCATGTATGCACCCATGTGTGTGCATAGAGACATGTGCAGCTAGATTTATACGAGAACGTCTCATAACGTCTCCTCCCTCCCTCCCTCCCTCCCTCCCTCCCTCCCTCCCTCCCTCCCTTCCTCTCTCTCTCTCTCTCTGTGGCGGGGATTGCAGGTGCGGGGATTTCAATAAGTCTGGATGGGCGTCAAGCATAGGGTTCGAACCACGCTCACGGACAGGGTTCCGACTCAACTCCAATCAGCGTTTGCTATTGCTCCTGGCCTGGCCTGATACTGGCAGTAAGAACTGGTCTGTCATACTTTAACTCAACCACGTTCTTCAGGATGCTCCACTTTCATGCCGATAGGTAGCCGGGCCCATCTGACAATGAATGGTTGTATGAATTAAGCAAGTCGGAACTACACTTTGCCACGGAGGTCCCGTTGCCGAATGCTTCTGTGATGCAGAGGTCGAATGCAAAGTGCTTGACATCGCATCATCTCTCATGTGCGCCGCGGAGCTCGCAGACGCCGTCAAGGACCCATAGAGCTTCAGGGCCTTCAGGTTACTACAGTCGCGAGACGAGTCCCTTGCCTTGGGATTTAGTCAGCCTGGTAGGACACGCATTAGTAAGTGTCGCATATAGTTGCAGGACGAATTTTTGTGCAGCAGCCGTTGGCTTTGGACCTGTCTGTTGCATGCCAGATGCCCGCTCTTAAAATCCTAATGATCTACCGGTATATGTTGTGAGGTACAAGTACCGCTGTCGAGGATAAAGTTCACCTTCCTGTGCATCGGCGGGTAGGGTAGATGTGCTAAAGTCTGAAAGTCGTATGTGAGCTGCGTAGCACGGATTCCAAACAAGGTTACAAGCAGGTCCGATGCCACTGATGACGACGGCGAATCTGCATGTTTGGAGGGCTTCGCCGGGTGCTTCTCTCGGGTGTCGAACACCCTCTTTGGCGCGCGGGGTTTTCGAGCACGAGGATTGCGATAACTGACACTACTGGGTCGCGAGGTGCAGAGCGGCCGTCGATTGCGAATGCCTCCCAAGAAGCGGAAAGCCTTTCAGAACGACAGCACCATAACCAACACAGTTCACAAAGTGAGCCGGAAGTGGCGGCCAAAGTGGCCACGATATCAGGGTCAGCCAAACGAGAGCTCAGCAGTCAAACAGCAGCTGCTGGGCGTCATATTGCCCGAGGTTAGTGCGCCGGATGTCATCAGTGAGTTCAAGCAGGTTTCCATTGCACAAGATGAACTGGCAAATCTGCTCCCGGAGTCTGTGCCACCGTGTCGGTTGAAGCTAGACGAACGTACAGAGGAAGTGCCACTTGGCTCTGCTTCTCCAGCCTGGGAGTCTGCTCCAGGTGAGAAGATGGCCGTGCTGAATGCTGGATGCTACATCTCTGCGGCAGCATGGGCGCCACCTGTCGACATGGCTGTGCTTGCGCTTGCAGTCAACAGCCGTGCCATGCCTTCGGTGGCAGCAGAAGGTCCAGTGCCGGGCGCCGCGGCCATCCAGCTCTGGCGCATTGATATCAGCAGCCCAGAAAAGTCTGCACAGCTGCGATTGGGAGTTGTGCACGATGCCGCGAGTGCGCGCGGCCTGCAGTGGCTGCCATCCAAGCGCACGAAGGAAAGATTGGGCTTGCTCTTGGCCGCGCTGTCGACCGGGGAGCTTTGTCTGTATAGCCTGGCAACGGCCACGTTTCAAGAAAAGCCGATCTCTCACAAGCCATTGTTTGCCAGATTCAAGCCGTTCTGGAAGGCAAGAATGCTTCCTGCAGGAGCGCAGCCTGCAAGTGCTTGGCAGAGACATGTACAATGTGCAGCAGCGCGAGAAAGCCCAAGGGACCCGCGCAGTTGCATTGTTGCGGCCGGCTGTGAACGGTCCGTGGTGCTCCTTTGGCGACTGGTTTCAGGATCGCCGCTGCAGGAGTCGCCGATCGAGGTGCTTAGACCCTTGTTGCTCGACGCCGAGACAGTGATGTCCTTGGCTTGGTGTCCTTCACACGAATTCGAATTGTTGGCTGCTGGCTTCGCGGCCGGATACATTGTACTGTGGAACTGCCAGACTCCGAGTGCACCACTGCGCTGCTTCATCCCGTTGGTTCGAACAGCTCATGTCAACATCGACTGGGCTGACCGCGACAATCTATGTCTTCCAGCTGATGCTTCGTGCTACAATTTCTTCCATGGGCGTTTGGTGAGATTGCGGCCCGACAGGAAGGGCGATTGTTTGTCATGCACCGGGGCATCCCAGGCTCCTCTTGGCGTCATTTCCCTTTGGTCAGACGGCGTGGTTTCTTACAGGCCGAGGCCGCTGATCCGGCCACGGTCCTTTTATGGTGCCAACAATGACGAGATGGTGTTGCAGAGTTGGCGGGTGCTGGGTGCAGATCTTACAGATGCGCCATTCCCTGAACCTGCTGGTCCCCAGCCAAGTGAAAGAGCCGAAGACGAGTGCAGAGCTTTCCGGGAGCAGCTGCAACTCGGCTTTGTCACTGCCATGGCTTGGGTTCATGGGTTCTGGGTTTTTCTTTGCGGCTGCCATATGTTCCGTTGAGAACACGAGGCTACGCATTGCTTCTTTGATGAATGCCGCCCGCGCCAACTAAGGTTCAAGTCATACCAGAACAACCTGCTGAACAGGTATCGCGCATGGGAGACAGAGAGCTGCGAATTGCAGATCAAGACTGCCAAAGAGCTCGACAAGCATGACAAGAGCAATATGCCCCTCACAACTGCCAAAGTCAAGGAGCTGAGATTGCCAAACACCGTAGAACCAGAGATCTTGCCGCTTGGCCAAACTGGTTTGTGGAGCCTGTAGATGTTCAGATCCATCGTATCACGGGCTGTCTCCTGGTGCTTTCTCTTTGCTGCTCGTCCTTTCGAAGTGTCCTGAACACCTTAATTTTCACTGCTTGCCAGGGTGGCCATCAGCAGCGCTGCTGGTGTTGAGACTCGGCATTGTTTCAGTAGATCCGAAAGTCTATGGGATGTGTTTTGTTCTTTGCAATGTTTTCGTTTTCTTGGTCACCAACCTGCGCTCCAGATCAGAAAGATCAAACTCTGCAAGCGCGGCAAACGCCGAAACCTTGCCGATGCTTAGAACATCTTGAGACCGAAGCTAACTTGTGGATCTCCGTTGCACACCCACGGCGGCAGCAAGAGTTTCTGCTGACCAAGCAGCGAACACACAACTCAGGGCGTTAAGTTTGAAAGTTGGTTTCCTTTTATGGCAAGACTCTACAAAAAGAACGGAAGCTTCCAGAGAGAATGCACGTATGGGTGTGCAATTATGCCTTTGAGGCAATTCAGTCATGAAAGTCGAGTTGTTGCAGCCTCTAAAACTTCAAACCTCCTCGTCTGGCAAGTCCCAGTTGCGAGAGCGTAAGCCTAAAGAGACATGTTTCTGGAGGCTGTCCTGGCTCCGGGTCTCATAGCTGCAAGTGTGGTATCATAGATGCACGTGGCTGAGGTCTCCGTGACTTCTTCCAAGTTGCGGCGCCTCCATCGAGAGAAAATTTTTCACACTACTCGCAGCTGTCATAGCTGTCCTTGAGTGCTCCACGAAGGGAGGCTTGGCACTGTGAGTATTGACAGCTGCTGACCACACCATGCAGGAGCTACCGCCGCAGCTGTCTTTGCCTTCTTTGCGGGGAGCGCATCCAAATGCAGCCCCAAAGGCAGAACAGTGTCATTCGCACATGCCGGCAAGCCTGGCCGTGGTAGAGTGGCATTCTTTGGTTCGATTTCGAACGATTTCGAAGCATCCGGCACAGGAGTATCGCAAGCGTGGTGATGTGGAGCGTGACAGGGCCACCGAGTACCTTCGTGAACAAGCAGTCGAGGCACGGGGAATCGGCAAGAGCAGAGAGGCAGAGAGAGACGCCTCTCTGCATGGAGGAGTGGCAGACGTGTCGTGTGCTACTTGGAAGGTGAGCCGCCAGAAAGAAGCCGATGCTGCCCGGACACGTCGCCATCCGAGCTTCTCAAGTTATCTCTGAATGCACGCTTGGAACAATGGCTTGCGAAGCTGTGAGCGACTCGCATGTTGCAGCGTGGAGTCTTTCTGACTTTCTGCAATCAGTCCAGCTGCATACGTGATTTGGGCCTGCGCCTGAGGCGAAGCTGTGGACTTCCGACGCTGGCCACAGGGATTGCCAAAAGAGGTAGCTGAGATTGGCCTCGTGTAGTGAAAGGAGTTCAGTGCGCTCGTTTGAGGACGTGGGCCCGGCACCTGGGCTGGTTCCAGTCGGAAGCTGAGCCGACTCATCTGTGCCCGTACTGGTAGCAGATTCGGAACTTCTGCTAGCGCATGCCTATCCGTGCTACTGCTCGCAGTCGAAGCTTGCATTGAACGTACCCTTGCCGTCCAGGCCCACCGCGTAGCTTTAAATGCCAGTGCGGCATTGAAAACCATGTCGCAGGCAGCATACAAATGCAGGCTTCAGCTGTGCAGACTTGACACAAGCAGCGAACAACACAACATCAGCTAAGGAATATTGTTGCAGTTGCCTCCACAGTTGTTTCTGCAGTCTGAGCCTTTGGCCACGTACAGTCTTCCAACTGTTCCCTGCTCCTGTACACCAGTTAGTGGAGCTACTTGGGCCTGTATTACTAGAGTTACTCGTACTAGAGAAAAGCTGCCGCTGCTCCTCCTCCGACCGCAGTAACCGAAGACAAGTACCTAACGCTAGTACTGACGCTGCTACATTCAGCCTCTCAGCCATGGGGAACTCGTCTCCTCGACCTCCACCGGAGCTGGACTCCAGCACCTCCGAACCCTCCTTCAAGGCTTTGTCGATTGAAGCTCCATGCCGTGTGCTGTCGCAGCTGCATCTCAGCAACCAGTGCTCTCCTCGTTCTAAAGCGGCCACAGGATTTGGAGACCCACTGCCGGAAGCTCAATCCGCAGCAGCGATCTGCCCTGCTGGGGCTCCTGGGAACAGCCATCGGCGATGCAGTTGGCTTGCCATTTGAGCTGCTGAGTTGCAAGACAGTATGGAATCTTGCACCGCAGACTAGCAGCCAGCTCCAGACATCGTGAGATCGAAGCATTGGAGTCAAGGCGCCCAGGTGGGAGGCAGGGACTAGGGACTGGAGGTCTACTTGGCTCGACACGACCGGAAGTCCGCATGATCCCAGACCAGAGACACAACTCGCTTGTTAATGCGGCACGGTTCCGATGTGTAGGTGCAGTCCGCGTCATGAAACGTCTAACGGCATGATGCAGCTGCATAAAAAGCAATCTACACACACGCGCACACAGACTGCCACGCCCCTTATCACCATGAATCACCAGATGCCCGAGAGTTTTGCAACAGCTCAACAGCTTGAGCGACAGGCCATGGACCATCCTCATGTCTAGAGTCTATGTAGCAGTTGAGACTCAAACTGAGACTTATGGGTGGTCAGTTGTCGACGTGCTGCATGCATCCAAGGCTTCACGCTCATGCGAAAAATCGAGAAAGATTCGCGATACAGCAGGGGGAATCCGGCGGCTTGATTGCATGATATTGCATCATGCTTTGTTGTGATAGTGTTGAAAAGCCAGGTTTGGCAGAAACTCAGGTGAGTCGGCTGCTGCAAGGTTTTGGTCCGATGTGATGCCTTTCCTTAGCTCGCGCCTTTCTCCTGCTGAAGGCCGCGCTCTCGTGTGAGACGCTGCCCCTGAGTATTGCTTGGTTCCATTTCCTTAAATGCGCAAAAAGGCGCTAGTTTCGATAAGCGGAGAACCGAATCAAATCTCGAAACGTCCAAAGGTCGAAGAGGTGCAGCCTTTCGGCTGTTCGTGTTTTCCTGCGCTGTTCGCATGTTCACAGTTTTTCGTATTTTTCTGGCTTTTCGCAGTCTTTGTGCTTTGCGAACTTTGTAGAAGCGGTTTTCTGTGTTGTTCGATCTTTCAGGTTTTCAAATGAAAGCTCCAACCCAGAGCAGGGGTGGCCGGGATCCAAACAGGACCTAAAACGAACAGCGTCGGACATTGGCATTTAGGTACAGCTTTCGCGTTTGGGGACCCAAGTGGCAACTCCCGACGAGTTCGGGTCTGTGGAGCCGACCAAGATCTTGGTGCGTGTGTGTGTGTGTGTGCGCACCCCATATTTCGATGTTTTTTTCATAATTTCGGGCATCCAAAAGTTTGATCATGCCTCAATATAGTTTGAACGGTTTTTGCCCATTGACTCTTCAACCGACCCTTCCCTGTAAACGTAAGTATATGCGATCGCTGCCTTGGCAGGGACTTCCTTCTGTCGGAGCTACTCGGACGACACCGTATGCACCGATCTGAAGATGCATGCCATAGCCAAGGCGAGAGAGTCGTCATGGAACGAAGCATTACCAAATTTTGAAAGTTAACTGTGTGGCATGGAAAGCGCATGACCTGAAGCAGTAGAGACTGTATGCTCAGAAAGGCATTCTCCGCCCCAAGTGGATTCGATTCGGCAGGTCGTTTGGACTTGTGGTGCGATGAAAGTTCCGGAGAACAGGCTATTCGAGGCGCTGGCTCCATACATGAATGATCACGAATGCATCACCCCAACTTCTTACACAGTTGCCGAGGCTCTGATGCAGGAATTCCTGGCATGGGCCCATGGCAGTGGTGGGCAACTGTTTCAAGGTTATGGCGGCTTTACGATACTTGGAGAAGCAACATGAAAGTAGAGCAGAGAATCGTTCCATCCTCATATCCGGGACATCCAAGAAAGGTATGTATCATGTATCATAGGTTCGCAGGACGTGAGCAAAATTGGCCTGGGTGTGGGAACCAAGCACTTGCTCCGTTTGTTGGAACATGCGGGGCTGGGGTTCTGCACAAGACGTGTGAGTGTTGTCAACTAAAATTAGTCCAGGACCCTGCAGACGATTGAGGCGGTTTGCCGTACCGTGTACAGTGAAAAGCGCTCAACATGGTGTCCTGCTGGCTTTGTTCCGGAAAAGTATTGCTCGCTGACGAGGAAAGACTTGCTGAAGCCTTCGCGAGGAAATCGTCTTGGCCGCATGCTGCATTTCGACTTTGTTTTTGCTTTGGCCGCTTGGACGACGCTGTTCTTTGGATTCGACGGCTGGCACCAGGTCATCTAAAGATCGAGCTGTTTCAGCCAGACAGCGACTACTGGCCCACAGAATCTCGGCCAAAGCTCAGATGCATGCCGGGTTGTATTATCCTCGTTACTTTCTTAAACTCCACCGCTCAGGAAGATTTCCTCAGATTCGCACAGGAGCTGGGTGGTGCGAACGTACTTGCGTTGGCACCAGTACTCTGTAACAAGAACGGTTGCTACTGTTGCAGCGGCAGAGCGAGCATCCCGGTGGGGCATTCTGATTCTCTGCTGCCCGAGACAAAACGTCTGGCAAGAAGCCAAGTGCAGCGAGGGTGGGCCGTTCTGCCGGCTTTTTGGAGCAGTTCCGTCTGGAGGAGCACTGCAGTGGAAGCTATCCTGGTGGCTTCCCTTCTTTCGGGAACGGGGCTGTCATGAGCATGACACCGCAGGCCTCGGAGCATCTGAAGCAGGTTGATGAGAGTCTGAGCAGCACAACAGGTGCTCTTCCAGATGGCTGGAGCAGGACGGTTGCTTGATGTGCGTGCGTGCGATGCTTGCAAACAAGAACCCGGCTGCACTCGCTGCTGCATGCATGCTACCGGGTGCTGTGGAAGTCTAGATTCTTTCTGGACAGGACCTGCTGCCCAGGTGCTGTGCTGCACTCACAGTGAGGCTGGCAGCGAACAGCTAAACTGAGCTCGCGCGCGCACGACTCTACCTGACGTGGCCGCAGCTTGCTTGTTATCCATTGCTTAAAGAATATCCGCTTTGCCAGGCTTCCGCGATGTTGGCAGCGGATCTGCTATCCGAACTTCTCCGCCACGGCCTCAGTGCCAGCCAACCCATTCCAATTTGGCACACGTGCGCGGCTTCACCACCGTTGTCGGATGCAGGTGGAATCCATGAGCGAAAGCTGAAAAGCGGCAAGGCAATCGTGCCTGGGAAGACCTGCTTTGATCGCAGACCTAAGCTGTTATGTTAGGACATCGGTCGCTTTGTGCTGAAGAGCGCGGCGTGGAAGCAGAGCGTTGCACGCTTGAACCAGCTTCAGGACGTGGTAGCAGGTCCAAGTAATGTAGAATCTCGACCTTCCCGTACCAGAGAAACTCTTTACTCACGAGTTTGGATCGCGCGCCGACGCCTTCCCTGACTACTTCCAGGACGGCTATGTTTATCCATGTGCTGCGTTTCGAGAATTCTTGGAGCAGCTCGGCTACATGTAAAGCTTCGCAAGCTCGGTCACGCTTTTTGCTGGGCTTTTTGCTTGGGCCTGGGCACTGGGCAGGTCCGGTGACTGCAAGGCCGGGCCGGGCTGGGCGCCACGCGGAGCTTTTGTCGGTTTTGGTGTTTTGGCTGTCTCTTCTTCGGGAGGCAGACACTGCGAACTCTTTCCTGCACACGCTCATCACCAAGAACCTCGGCCCTCTGAGAGCTCGCTTTCTGCCTGTGTAAGGGAAGAAATTGCCTTGTTGTCATGAATCAAGGGGCAACTTGCCGCCATCTGAGTCCGAGCTGGTGACCCATCCAGGCACAGGGCCAAGACATGCCAAGCTGGGGTATAGGAGCTCAGCCACTCTCGTGAGGACCTTTTGGATATTTCGGCGAGATGCTACGCTGCTCGGCTGTTCAATTCCGGGCTCCGACGTGTGCCTTGTTGTTGCCAGGAAGCTGATCGACATGAGTCCGAACAACTACAGCATTACCCATTAGCGGCTAGTGCACTGATGATGACAAGGCATTGCTGCCAACTTTGACGATGACACTCGGCGTCACGGTGGGTATGTGAAGCCTGGATGGAGACGCCATTGACATCCGTTGACAGAATTAATCTTCTGCTTGCAAAGGATGCTGTCCGACAAGGGAACCGGCTTGTCGTCGAGGGGCGCCCGGACGTCCTGGTTCGCTTCAGTCAGCGTGGAATGAACACGGCCGGCATGACTTGCTTTCAGCTGCCCTATTGGTCCTTCGGGGTGAGTGTGAACAAGACAGCGCAGCATCAAAGTCTTCGTCGGGAGCACAAACAGAGCGGGAATGCCAGAGGACTGCGGGAATAGTTCGGAAACAATAACACTTGTTGCGAGCCGCCGGAAGCAAAAAGTCATGCACCAACGACTGGAAACTGCCACAGCCTCCGGCCGGATGTTACACTTGCCCTCGCTGCCGTGGCCAATGATTTGGACGTACTTGGTGACAAGTTGCTCGGGCGGACCGGAACGTTGATACAAGTAGCCAGCAGCCAGCCCCCCGCGCACTCAAAATCAACCCCCCACCCCCTCGTTTTCTTCTCTGGAGTGGCTCGGGCCTCGATTGAGGAGTGGTGAGGGGTATAACGATGGTGTAACGTTTGTGCTCTCAGCACTGCACCCGGTACAACATCAAGTATCTCTGCAAATCTCATTGTCGAGGCAGTAGGACCGTTGTCGATTCGATGGATGGATGTCGAACATGAAACACGGGTTCAAGTTTTGTCACTAGTAGTGACCTAAGACCTGAGCACGTGAAGTCGTGCAGAGGGTGTTTCAATGATTGTACACCGTCTCGCTTTCGCATCCCTCATCAAACGAGAAGGCCCTGCTGTTGAGGAGTGTTCGCTGGCACACAACCCAAGCCCATGCTGAAAAGGGGTTTTCCACGCAAGTTTAAGCTTGTCTGCGGTTCTGTACCCTTGGATCCTTAATTACTCTCTATTCTCCCGGGCTGTCGCTAACAGAAGGGCAGTCCAAGTCCACGTAGGTGAAGAAGGAATGAGAACTGTGATTTTCGGAGTGTTTTGAGCCCTGCAGACCATCATGGCCATTTGGTGTGCTGCCGGCGCCAAAACTTGTGTGGACTGGCTTCAACGGATGTTGTACGTCGGTGGTGACACAGACACGATCGGTGCCGTGGCAGGCTCGCACATGCAGCCATCAACTCCTCACATGTGCTGCCGAAGTTGCCGAGCAGCAGGTCAGATTGCCTGCCCTCTCCTTGAGCCCGATGACGTGATGAAGTCTTTCCGGTGCCTTTGAACGAAAAGGGATAAGCGACAGACCTCGTTGGGGTTTCGGGCACGTGCATGCATGTGCTTATATGAATGCGCTGTGAGATGCATGTCGCACGGGCTTGAAAAGCATTTGGGGTGCCACTTCGAAATAATTGTGGCGTGCTGACCGACCCAAGCATCCACTCACTAAGAAGCACGTACTTAGCTAGGGGCAGGTCTTTCGGTTTTCAGGATTCTTGTCGTGGGCTTAGAAGGCAAACTTCAATTTAGCGGTGGGATGGAGCGGAAAGATGGAAACCGAGGCGAGTTCGTGGCTCATGGCCCCGAGTTCAGATACAGCGAGTGTAGAACCTACCTGAGCGAAGCGATTTCCAAATCAGATCCGAGTGCAGCAGAACGGAACCAGGATCTCAATTAATTGCGATGCAACCTGGAAAAGCATGTCGCAAACAGGGCAAGAAGACCATGGTATTCCCGAGAACTCAGGCAGGGTGTCGCTCTGGATGGCTTGCATGGGCAAGCCGTGGCGGTTGCCAATGCTGCAGCACGGCGATTTTTCTACAGGCTGCTTGACAGCAGAAAAGCGGGTCACGAGATTTCCTCGCAAAGGTTCCAGATGTTGTGCGTGACTGTGTGTTTCCGGTGACGTTTGCGAAGGTCCTTGCTATTTGTTCGTGCAAGCTGGTCACAACTCCTTCAGACTCCCCGGCTCGTTGATGCAAAGTACGACGCCTGGCAGCTCACTGAACGCAAGACAGTCGGACCACGTCCGCACTCACGCTCTGCATGCCTTCGAGGATGGCCTTACGACACCTGATGGAATGCGTCTTGCCGGACATAGAAGGACATCCTGCAGATACGGAGGCGAAGCTTGTGAGTGGCAGCCCAACACTCTCGAAGTGGACTGATTATGCCTGGTCCAGGCAAGTGCTATGACCGGAAACGCCAGCACCGCTCACAGCAACTTGGAAGCACAGGCAGCAGTCGACAGCTGTTTCGGTCGCGTGCAAGCAGGTACTCGCACCCAGGCGATGAGGATTGGCAGCGGCTGCCCTGCCGCTATCAAAGCCATTGTCGCAACCGAGCCGACACAGGAGGGGGAATGACAGATCAAGGTTCTGCAGAGTTTGAGCGATGTCTGTGATGCTCGAGACAGTAGAGGGTCGCGGAATCACAGCACATGCATACAACGTGCCAGGCCATCTGCAGCTCGGCAAGAGAATAGATCTTCAGGTGAGTTCTTGGTGCAGGAATGAGGGAGTAGAAGGTTACCTGTTCTGGTCAGTCGTTCTGTATTTAGGCTGTTGGTGTTGGGTGTTTGGCTGCATAGGCTGGAGTTCAGCCACCCGGGCGACCATGACTGGGAAGCGCCTTCCAATGTTGTCATGGGAGTCCTGACATGAACGAGCACAGGCTCGAAGTTAGTTAAAGTATGGCTGCAATGCCCATGTACAGATGCGGCGCAGCGCCTTACTAAGTGAGTCTCAATTCGTCGCATCGGATGCTGACTGAAAGCCCACATCCCACCGGATCGGTCAGAACATGTGCCCAAATTAAGGGGGCCATGGCAATATGGGTGAGCTGATGTGAGATGTGAGCAGCGTCAAAGCTCATCCACAAGCAACAGCGATCTGAAGCAGCGATCAGGCTTGCACGTGCTCTGCTCAATCTTCTGCCGCTGTCGGTTGCAAAGCACCGAAAGCTGGCAGACCGGAGTTTTCAGTCAGGAGCAGTGTTGCCGCATGGTGCCTTATCCAACACAGGGTGTGGCAGCGGGAATCTGGCAAGTTACTTCAGATAAGCCATGCAAGCTCACAGCCCTTGCAAGCAAGCGGTCACGAGGCGGGGGACGCAGCGAAGTCGGATTCGGACGATGAGGAGGAGTGCGACCATATGCGACCATGTAGACTCTGCTGAATGCTAGGGTGTATCCGCAGGTGAAGCTGGGAGGTGCAGAAGGCTTCGTAACAGAAAGAGCGCAAGCAAGCGGAAACGACGACCGTCAGCAGTTGTCTAGAAGGAGGCCACGACAAGAACTCAGCTGTGCCCGAGCACCTCATACTGGTGCTTTTGCACCGCTACATCCACCCCCGCATCCAGATCCCCTCTCCAACCCACCCACCCCACCTCCCCTGTGCTCAATACTTCCCCAAGCCCTCACCTGGAAGGACGAGATCACGCGCAAGGATAGGGAGATAACGAAGCGGCGACTTCGTGAGCTGGGGCAGCGCAACACCCGGTAAAAGCTGCACTCGTCGATTCTGGTGAGGACCAGGTGACCAGGTGAGCCCGAAACACAAGCACATGCAAGGCCCGCAACCTTCTTCGCGGAGACAGATGCGCAGCGGTTCAGGAGGCACTGCGTTGTCAGGGCATTATTCGAACTCTTCTTCGGGATGAGTGCTGTGTGGACATTCATCATAGTACTTAGTTCATGCAGACATGTAGCAGGGATTCGCTGCGGCGTGCCTTCCCCCCGCAAATATTTTACTGAAGCTACAGGTGAGGCCGACTTCTCTTGCTGTGCCTCTGTTCTTACTGCTACTTTTCTTCGCTTGTGCCGCAAAGTCAGCCTTAATGTCAGAAATTTGGAGGCATACGCGAGGGCGGAGGCAGCAGGTGCTGTATTGAAGCCGGCTTTGGGACCTCAGAATCAAGCCCCTCCGAATCAGTGCTCTCACACGTAACCTGTGTTCTGTTACCTGCTGTCGGGCCGTACCGCCATGCTCAAGCCACCTCCCGCAGGCTGCAGGGCTGCGAGCTTTCTCGTGACCAGGCTCTATCAAGGGCCGGAGTGGTTCATTGAGCTGAAGTTCTGCCAACCCGGGCATCCTACAACACAATTTGTCTGTGGATTCAATTCGCCGATGAAGCATCGCAGCAACCTCGGCGATGCCATCATGTAGGTGGCTGCTGCTTACACTGAGTTGGGTAATGTCAGGACGTCTTGGCCGATGGATCTACGAATGCCTCGCGCTGAGCACGTTGCTGGTTTCACAAGTCTTCACTGAGTCGCCGTGGCCGGGACTCCTCTGATTCTCCGAGTGTCCGATGCCCACGAGAACGGGAGGCCAAGTAAGAGAAGCTCGAGCCACGAAACTGAGGCATATCAAATCCCATCCAGTCTAGTTTAGGAGTTTAGGCTTACCTCGTCAAGCGTGTTGCGCTCCTGCAATCACAAGCCCCGCAGTTCAAGGTTATGCAGATCTTGGATCGGCGCCAGCAAAGGGAGCGAGAGGCAACTGAAGAGCGAAGCGTGTGGAGCTTGTTGGTGCGGAGTGTAGTGCCAGCACATTCCAAGGCCACCCTTAGCTTGGCGAAATTCATTGCCCCTTTGGTGCAGGCTGCAGGTGGCATTCGACAAGGCGTCGACATTGTTGATGCAGAGGCCTGTAGAGCTGTAGCGAGAAGTACGAAGCCGAAGAAGAGTCACCACGAGATGCCAAACTCGGGCTCTCCGCCATGGCCTTCAGCGACTCCGAAGCTTATGCACGCTCGACCGATGGTACGACGAGTTCAGCTTTTGTGAGCTGAAATGTCGGCTCAAAGTGCAGCTTTGCACAACATTACACATCTCATGAAGAGTGTATCGCCTTCACCTCTTCCCTGGCGCAGGATGCGGAATTTGCAACACTGGAGGGCACAGTTACGCGACATGCTCCAGACTTAGCAGCGCAGGGATGTGGACAAGGTGCTCAGACGAGTAGTTTTTGCAGATGGCTTTGCTCTTGGCTTTGCGAAGCCAAGGAGCCCAACGACAATGACAGCGACTCGGAGGATGACGGTCTGAAGCCCCAGCGTAAGGAGATGCCTTCAGGTTCCTTCCCAAACAAGGGCACCCTGCGACCCTTGATGCTGTTTGGGCTCCTTCCCAGACCGATTAAAGGGGTGGTCCGGCAATTCTCTCGCCTCCTAGGGCCAAAGCTTGCCGTGGTCCTTGGGTCGGAGCCGGATGAGCGCGACAAGGAGCAAGAAGAGGTCCCCGAGCAAATCCAAGATACTGCTGTGAAGTTTGCGAGCTCCTGAAAAGGCTCTGTATTTCTGCCTGGGTTCGGTTCACGTTGGTGCTTGGAGGCACAGCGGAAACTCGACGCAGCATCTCATGCAGTGATGACTTGGATACGATCAGTGCCACGGACTAAGTACCGAGATGTAGATGCAGATGCAACCACACATGCAGCTGCAAATGGTAATGTGGAACTGTCCGTTAGCTTCGACAGCAAAGGCTTCGAGCATGGGAGGCACAGCTCACCGAGAGAGCTGCTACTGAGGCGGGTGCAGCTTCGTCAAGACCAGGGCTCCCGCGATGCATGTCATCATAACTTCATACATACACAGGCATGACATGTGCTTGAATGGTTCCGTGTCTGCACTAGAAACCCGATGGCATGCTCTTTCAAGCTTCGTAGATCCCTTTTTCTTGAAGTCATGATAATACCGCGGTGCAAGCAGGACCTCTTGTGGGACGAAATATTCGCCTTAGAGGGAAACAGTCTCACCGAATTCCTGGACAGGGGTCGCAGCAGCTGTGAGACGGTAATCATTACATCGACAGTATCAGCTTCTTATCGTTTGGGTCACGCCAGCCAGAGCGTGCCGGATGGTTGTCGCACCCGGTCGAGGACATGCGCCACAGCTAGGTTCAGCATATGAGTTTCATGCGTGCGGTGTAAGGACACTTTCGGATTGGATGGTGAAGTTCAGCCACGTCTGAATTCTTGTGATGCCACCCAGGTGCACCGGCACAGCTTCATTGATTTTGATAGTTGGGCTTAACCTGCCCAGTTGCCAGGGGCTCAAGACCGTGCAGCATCGTGCTTGACACATGGTGATGCACTGAAGTGTGCAAGGTTTGGCTGACCACTTGCTGCAGCCGATCAGCACAGAGACGCCAAATTCAGAACTTTTCCCGCATGTTTCAGGACATGTGTGCCTTGGCCCGAAACATTAGGCACGCCACGGGTGCTTTTGCTGGTTGAAGGCCTTACGCCATCGCCTTTTTACTCTAAGGCTTAAGCCGGTGAACACCGCCGTGCATGGACCCAAAAGCACGAACAAGTTTTGGGCGAATTGGATCTTCGGCCAAAGTTCGTCTTCGAGAAGCTGCTGTTATGCTCCATCTCTGCATGCACACACACACACACTCACATACACGTCAACAGCAATTTAAGGATCGTTTCGGACCCTATGGCATCTCGGCTCAGCATGCTGTCTTTGTCGAAATTTTACATGCTGGTTCGCGATTCGCGTTCTGCAGGTGCTCGGCTGTGCACGCTTGTTCACCCGTTAACCATGCGATGATCTACTAAGACTGGTGATGGAGCAATGCATGCGATTTACCCAATGCCTTATGCCCTCAAGCTGGGAGACAGGCATGAGTGTCTTGGAGGGATTGGTCATGAGCGGCACTTGGTCTGAATGTGTTTCCCGCCTCGTCCGCACGCTGCGCAGCCCAGGCTGAAAGCCTCTCACAACAGGCAGCCAAGGGTCTGGTATCAGGACATCGGACACGATGTGCATTGCTCATGGAGGATATGCAATGACTTGGCTTAAGCCGACATCAGGACGGTATGCTGAAGAACCGCGACAGTTCCCGAATCGAGCTGTATCAGACATCCTTTGTCGGCGAATTTGCGCTTGGGGCGTCGGAACTTGTAGGCCTGGCGGCGCACAAGTCAGTTCACACTTAGGCTGCTGAGTTCATGCTGCTTTGGAGCTTCAGGTGTCAGCTCCAGCTTCGAGATTGGCCAGGAAGGCCAAAGATTTCTGACTTGACCAGACAAGTTGTATGAGAATGTATGATTCGATGCGTAGATGTTTTCCTTCCTTGTTAAGGGTACGCGGCTGTCTGTTGTGCCGTGCATGACACTGGCCCATGCAGTGCTGGGCTAAACTGTTGAAATTACACGACAGAAGATTCAATCTGCTTGCAGAGCTTGAGTGGGACTTGTGGGCTGCTGGTGTCTCAGCGCATCTCAGCGCGACGTCGTTCCGTACTGTGAAAAGCAAGCCGGTGTCGACGAGATTCCTGAACTGCAGCCGCACCGATCTCTTTCTGCTCACGTCGGTTGCGGCATTACCACGTAATTAATTAAGGGAAAACGGAAGGCTCTCTTCTGTCGAGTTGGCACAGAATTTTACGAAGTGGTCTACCTGAAATGGATACCTTGGGCTCGAGATGAGCCTGACGGGGAGAATCGGAGTACGGATTGGACAATGTACTCATTCCACGAGTCAGCAAGCGGGATGTCGCAGGTCTGTTTGGCGTCCATGTCAATGTCAAGCAAGCTGATGGCGAGACCTTGGTGATGTACCCCATTTACAGAGGCTTGCCAGAATCATGGCAGCTGACTTGAACAAGTCTGTTTTGAACTCCGCTTTAAGCAGGTATTGACGAAGCGCTTGGGTGAAAGTTAAGGTGGGATGGCCTATGTTTCAGGCAGATACTACGGAGCGACGCCCCATGTCACAACAGCAGCTTGAAAGCAGAGCACTCACACTACAACGTACTGCATGTTGGCGCTTCACTTGGGTTGCTTGTTGGTTTGTCAGTTCTGTCTTGGCCTGGTTGCAAATCTCAGGAGAGAATAACCTTTGGAGTCGTTCGTCCATTTAACCATCTGCATAAAGTCCGTGATGGAGTTTGGAGCGTCACGACAGGCCCGGATGTTGTGCAGATCCCTGGTTTGCATCCTTCATGAAGCTGTCTTCCATTCCCTTTTTTCTTTTTCCTGCATGGCGACGTGTCATGAAGGCCATCATCATCTCACGAGCACTCCAGCGGAGCTGCGTCTGTACGCACTGACGCAAGACTTGGACTTCGTGGACAGCTCGTTTGAGCTTAACATAGCATGCCAGGGTTACTGCATTTCCATGAACAAGCAGCTGAATGGCTGGATGCGCGGCGCCCACGTTCTGGCAAGCGATGATGTGGATGTGTTGGATGCCCACGCTGCCACAGTCCTCGTGGGATGGGATCTGAAAGATGCTTGGCAAAACCAGACGACAGCACAATCGAGGGTCCTTTTGTGCTGCGCTGTCTGCCCGAATCGCTCACATGGTAACGGCTGCCCGCATCGCCAAGGTTGAACCCGCTGGCATAGTGAGGTACAAGTTTGAGACTGCCAGGCCAAAGTCTGGACAGTTGCTACACTGGGCTTATGCTCCTCGACAGGGCAGCTGAGCTCTTGGAGGGTGCCAGTTTTGCACTTGAGAAGCCTTGCATGTCCGTGCAAGGCTCATCATGTGAAGATGCTGCAGCCCGAGCAGGCTGGCAATGCCAAAGTGGCAGAAAATCTCAGCGCAAGAGCTTTGGCTTTAGCTAGGCGCAAGTTGCTGGCATCAAGCGTACAGTTCCTTTTGTAATTCTTTGTACAACTGTACATCCTTCCGAAGTGTATTCCGAGGTCAGGCGCCAACAAAGGGACTTATGCAAGGTGTTGTCGGCAATACCTGGATCTTGAAGGCGCCGCTGTACAATGCGACCCTCGACGTACGAGTAGCGATGGCAGGTCACTCCGGTGGCGGGGCCTTGTCAAGTTCATGACGCAGTATTACGCCCATTTATACCCCATTTATTCCGGTGCTTCGATTGGGATGTCTACAGGGAGAGGATCGGCCAGGACATAAGTAAGCTGCTGTCGACATCCGCAGAATCCGAGGACATCGCGGTTGGACTTCTTGCCCCCCACCGACTTCACCAAGCAGCGCAGAGGGCTGCTAGTCAATGAAACCCGTGCTTCGCTGCGCTGGTTTAGCCAGCCGCTGCACGAGACAAATCTCGCCGACCCACCGAACTGGCGGCACTCTATGTTCAAGCCGCTTGCCTCAAGGAGAAGCCACGGCTGTCTCAGTCTAGCCATATGCCGCACCATGCACACGATCGGCACACATCGACCTCAGGCTGCACACTTCAGTTTCCGATAGAAGACGCAAGAGTCGTCACAGATTCCGGTAGTATGCGCGGCAGTGCTTAGCAGCCTTACAGTCGTTCAGGTCAGACTTCTACTTCAGCGGGAAAGGCTTCCAGAAGGTGCAAGCTCTAATCTGTCATTGGGCAAAAATCAGCTTGTCGACGCCATCCTGCCAGGTAGCGATGATATGTCTGTTGGCGGAGGAACTGCTCACGCAGCAGGAGATGGAAATGTGCGCGAGCTGGCTGGGCACTGGCTTCCAGCTCCACGCCTAGTGCCAGCTGTGCCACCTTGAGCCCATTTGCAGCTTTTGTATGTGTCTTTCATCTTCATGATGGGAGCCAACCTGCAGGTGCATCTTGAGTCAGTCCAAGGGTGAGTCCACATCCTCGGATTGCGTCCCTTAGCAGCTGTATGTTGCTGTTCAGTCGTGCCATCAGTCATCGATACCGGAATCAGCTCATTGAGGTGGGCGCGCCTGGGGGCTTGTACTATGATGAAGTCTGGGGTGGTTTGCCCAGCCGGGTGGGCTACAACCAGGCCTCGAACGCAAACCCTGCTGCATGACTGAAGAAGCCTTTCTCGCGAGATCGCAGGGGGCTTTCGATTGACGATTTGAATGGTGTGACAGCAGTCAGCCGTTTCATCAGGTCTTGCATTGCCTGCTTGCGGACTTTGGGAACTCCTGCTACAACGACCACCACTACCACTTTGGATACTTCGTCGTGGCCGCAGCAGTCCTGATCAAACTGCAGCCGGAGTGGAAAGAGAATTCTGGGTTTGTGGATTTCGCGACTCTGCCGCCGATGCTGTTCATGTGTCACCAGAGGGTACTGGCTCTTGGTTTATACCATACTCCTTGCAAACTTGCCTGGAATCAACCTCCTCCAGGTGAGCGGGTTGATTCGAGACACGTCCAACCCCAGCCGCGATGATCCTTTCTTTCCACGCTTCAGATCGTGCCTCGCGCTGCACATTGATTAAGAGACCAGTCGTCACATGAACAACTTGAGATCTGACTGGCAGGGTCTCACCTTGTGGGTGATGCGGTAGTTACAGTTGCAAGTCATGTGTGACGTTGGCAGTTTCGACTGGTTCGACCTGCATTCCTGGAGCCGCGGACTTGCTCCCAATCCGGATGGCAAAGACGAAGAGTCAACATCAGAAACTGGGCTTGCGCTTTAGCAGGGGTTCACCACGAAGAAGACACGAAAGACCTTTTGGCAAATTTCGTAAGGCAGAATGACACAGGCGAGAATGCTGGTGATTGCAGTTGCCTTTCTTTCTTACAGTTTCCTACCTTCACTTTCGTCAGATGCACCTGCTGCACCGATGTCCAACTGTGGTGAAGTTGCAAAACATCAGGGGGTAAGAATCCGGTCGCACCGGAGGCGAGACTACGCAGAAGATGACCCCAGCCTCCAAAATCTGTTGTCCGCAAGCATGCCATCTCGTCTACATGGTCTAGCTCGCAAGATTTGGCCAGTCATCGTCCGACGGGGTGTGGCGAGTGCCATTGGCAATAACTGAATAACTGAGCTTGCCGGAGGTTTTCTGGCTCCTTCTTGCAAATCACATGAATAGCAGAACCCGATGGAGATTTAGGCACAGGCGTGTTGCCATTGTCTCGCAAGAAACTGTGTGGCTGACGCGCGCATGATGAAATTTGATGTGGACGACCAGTTTTGGAAAAGCGCCTTTTGATGAGGCGTTCGTTGTGCATTGCATGGTCATGCGAATGGATCAGGCTTCAGAATTTTGTAGCAGCTTTGGATTTCTTACTATGTTCTTCGAGAAGCCGCCGCTGCCTTCTGGACAGCAGGTGGACTGTTGCCAACCTGCATTGCGAAAACCTTGGCGGTTTCGGGTCAGATTTGAGGACTTCCTGGTTCAAGGTTTGAGTCTTCGGGCCATAGTGGCAGCGTGAGTTAGGAAAAACACGATCAGCTGAAGCATTGGCTAATCCGGGCGAGCCATGCATGAGAGAAACGCTTGCCGAATCTCACAAGCCTCAATCAAACCCTCGGCCACGAGTTGTTCGTCTTCCAAGGAGGAGCTCAATCTGCATTACGGTATCTACCTGTGGGGCAGGGAGATGGGCAACGAAAACTTGCAGCAGCTGGGCGCTACGATGCCGCTGGGCTGTTTCTTCGCCGGATGCGCATCGGTACTAGACCGATCGTGTTCGTATCTTGAAGTGCAAGTTGCTCTGAAGCTGTTCAAGGCAAGGACCATAACAGAAGGTCCGCAGCCTCCTGTTGATCTGTACACTCCGCGAGCCACCATCAAAGGTTGGCCTTGGCAACCACGACGGTGCAAGAGTTCTTCTTGATGGGGAAGAACAACCCGCACCATCCACAAGACTACGCAACCCGGCGGAACACATCCAATCCCCCGCATCAACAGCAACACTTCCTTCCTCTGAGTTTGTCCCAGGCCAGGAACCGAGCACCTGGAATGCTCCTCCAGAACAAGGCACAATACGCGACTTACTTCGGCAACAAGTTCGAGCCACCCGGCACAAGCACCAGTGCATTTGGAAAGCCTTTGAGCATGTTTCAGCGAAAGTCGCAGATTTTGTGCCCTGGTCGCAGGGGCAAGGTCAAGTTTTACGTGTGAAGCTTTTATTTCGAACAATGGAAAGGTACATACACGGAATCCAGATGATCCCGCTTTCTCCTGCACTGCTGCTAGCTCGGACGCCGACCTTCAGCCAGCTTGAATGGAGCCTTTGCTGCGGCTTCAGGCCCCAGATGGCTTCACATGCAACTCTTTGCAGTGCTTCTCAGGAGTGAAATCCTTTGCCATCTGCCTCTTTCACCGGCCGATCCCTGGACTCCAGTGTTGCTCACTGGTGGTCTTGCGATGTTCGACCGCGACAGGGCACTGGAAACCTGACGAAATACAGCTCGCAGGTGCGACATGTTTCGACTCTCGACTGCGAGACGTCTCGGGGCAGCTTAGGAGCTTCTGCTGCAAGTTCGGCAAGAGAGCATGGATGATGGCCTCACGCGCGCATGGGCCCTGTACTGGACTAGCGTGGCTCTGCTGCAGGCGGTCACTGGAGCCGGAGCGGACTCGCAACTGTCCAGAATTCGTGCGCTGAGACGGCATTGCTTTGCCATGAAATCAGTTAGGCACAGCCGCAGCGGCGCGAGACTTGGAGCTGTGGCAAGCCTCCGCAGCACACTCCTCGTGCATGTCCGACAGGCCGCAGTCGGCTAGATGTTTCAAAGTTCCCAGCGCCTTTGCTAAACTCTGGTGGCCGCAGGACACTATCGTGATGGTGCACAGTGCATACAGTGCCCACCTGGCACATGGAACAATCTGCGGAACCAAACGAGCTTCAGAGCTTCCTGGAAGAAATAGCCGGAGGTAAACCAGTGCGTGAGCTGGCAAAAAAAGCAAGAGCATTGAAGGCTCATCTAGTCTCCTCCACTTTGCTGCTCACGCGGAGTTGAGCCAATATGTTTCATATTTCGGCATTTCTCAGATGTGATTCATTTGGATCCTTGGGAGCCGAGCCTCAGGTCGTGCCTGTTCTCATGTCTGTTTGCAACAGGAGGAATGTGTTGCGGAAGCTGAGGCTTGCAAGCAGTGCGGAGCCGGACGCTACAGCTCTCAGGTGTTTGCGCTTGTCAGTTGGATGTGACAGAGCCCGCCATTAAGCAGTCCCGCATTCTTGTGACAGGCAGGGCTCACCAGCAGCGATTCGTGCACGCAGCTTCGTCAAAAGTGGAGTCACCCTTTTCGGAAGTTGGCAGGTCTTGTCCATGGTGTTCAGACCATGGCCGAAGAGACATTGAACGAGAAAGAAAAACGGAAAGTGTTTCGTTGTCGTTCTGTCGTTGGAACTGCCTCAGAAGAAGCACACTCGACCGCATGTGAGCAGACCAGCAAATTTGCCGGAAGCGCCCAAATGACGGTCATGGTTTGCCTGCCCTCCCGCCCAGTGATCAAATCCATGAGTCACCAATGAGAAAAAGTTGTGATCGGTCTTTGGGCCGAAGCAGCACACAATGGTAGTAGGCTGCACAGGAATGCATGGTGCTGTATGGGTTTGGGGGCAGGTGGGCTTGCGCCTTCGCATCAAAGCCCAATGTGTTGGTGTTGCATTGGTGCTTCAAATCCTTATAATGCAAGGCCGTGTCCTGCTGGGACCTGGTCAGCGGCAGTTGGCGCACAACTGCCCGGCGTTTGCATACCTTGCAGCAGGGACCCACGGCAGCAACATGTCATCGACAGCAGCTTACCCGTTCAAAGTTGGATCGCTCGTCTGCGAAGTTCCGGGTAAGATTCTGTCCTTAGCACTCTGCATTGCTTTAGTTATCCAGCATTATCCAACTCATCGACCTGAGGGTCTGCAGCTCAGGATCCCAATGCTCATCCATCCTGCTCAACGAGGATTGCGGCTTTGCAAAAATGCTCAATGCTGCCCACTCTGCGTCTGTCGTGAGGACAGAGAGCGGCGAGATCTCAGAAGGCCATGAGTTTACTGACTGCGCGCGAGCTTTCCCAATTTCATGTCATCAGCGCGGATAGTGAAGCATGTTTTGCAGACAATGGCCTCCCCGGGTCAGTCATACATCAAGATTTGGCCCGACTCCTCAACCTTCTCTGAAGCCTTCAACAAAGCATGCGCGCGGGTTTCGAGATGATCGTACAAAAGCCACCCATCCTGAAACCAACACGCTGGTGCCATAGGTGCAGGGAGCCAAATACCTGCGACGATGGAGGACGCCTGACTTCATGTTCCCATCGTTCTAGCTAGGACCCAGACCTAGAGATACTAGTCACATGCCCTGGGTGTGGATGCAAAGGAGCAAAGCACAACGCCGCCAAAGGCAGTCATGCTGAGACCTCAGCTTCACAAAGACCGCGTCGGACCTTCATCGCAGTTCCTGAGCCTCACTCTGGCGATTACCTGTCTTGGCACTCTTGGAGCCAGGATTGGAAGCCCCATGTCTGCTGCCAGCCGCTACTCTTCTCCACGTCGAGCCGAAGCTCTCGCCGCCATAATGGCCTTGAGCTATGCCTTCAGCAACCTATTCGGTCCGTGACTCTGACTGCAACGGCGGCAGTGAGGACCCGAATATAATTCGATTAATTCGTAGCAAGACCTGAGCTTCTATCTCAGGAGTTGCCTTTTTCCTAGCATGTGTCCAGAGCGACATCTGAAAGTGTACAGCTTCGCCGTGCTCTCGCACGGTGCCACGAATGCATCTGCGATTATCCCTGACCCGCGCAGAGGCCACAGCCGGGACACAGTTCTCCACGAGCCTTCGCGGGGGTTTTGATGCAGCGATACGTAGGAGCTTGGACTGGAAGAACTGCTACATTAGAGAACGAAATTGCGCCATATGCCCTCATTCGACTGGGTGGGCAAGCGGTCGACCGCATGCGGCTAGATGTTTTACATATGTCATCTATCTAATATCGGTATGTATATATATATATATAGTAATATTTGTATAAGTGTCACACCAGGAGAAGCAGCAAACGTTCAAGTTGGAGAAGGCAGGGGAACCCGAGCCACATGCGGGGAAAGGCAGCCAGTAGGTGAGCTGCTTTGTCACGTCAGGCACAATATCGGCAGTCGTCATGGCCTTAGTGAAGGGTCAGCATGATCTGCCAACGCATTGAGAACCTCCTTGAGCGAACTTGAGTGCAAAGATTTTTTGCTCAGGAAACAGTATCTGAAGCCCTTGCGCCGGGCCTTACGAGTGAAGCACCCAGCTGCAGTGATTCAAACTTACAGCGGTCATCAACTGATGCGTTGCCATCGACAGTTGCGCGACCGCTGCGAAAAGCGATGCTAATTTCTCTGCTAGGGCTTGCTTCGATGTGGCACCCACTTTCTTGCCGCAGCTTAGTCAAGTATGCTGCGCAACACAAGTCCAGGATGGCGAAGTGGATGCCGGTGTCACCTTCTCTTTGGCAGAGATTGCTGAGCAATGTCGGAGACCTGGACCGCTTGCAGCCCATGTCTCAAAGCATGGCAGCGAGTAGGCCGCTGGTTCGGTTCGGCTGACATACATGATTGACGACATTGTGCGCCCTGAATTCCAAGGTGGAAATCGCAGCTACCGAGCTGCCAAGGAGGCTGGGGGGGAAGCGTAGATGATAAATGCTCGCACTCTCTGCATGACTCGCTTGTAATCCGGTACCGCTGGAATCGCCCGATATTTAGACTTTCCTCACGGGCTGCTCTCAGACACTTGGCGAGCAAACGGGATCTGCATCTTATCGTGTCTGGAGGCATACATGCGCTTGGCAATCGGCAACCATCCATGGCCCATGGGCGTACCGCTCCCATTTGCAGTGCAGTTTCGGGGGTAGGCTCAGTGGGAGGAAGGCGCTCTTTCCAAAAGTGCTTGTCGGAGGTAACATTCGTCACATTCCATGACCGAGCAAACCGTCACAAGATCGGAGAGGGTGCGCAAGCACATGTTCTGGATGCCGCAGACCCAGATTTGAGGAATGCAAGCCCGCAGCAAAACTACCCGCCGATTCCGCTGATGACTGAGGATGAAACAACTCGGAAGTATGTGCAAATGGTCAAGCGGCTCGTCACCTTTGCAGAAGCTGTGCGGCAGTGAGAAGAGTTGTTGTTTCGCATCGCCTTCGTGTTGACTGTTGCTGTCCAATGTTTGCAGACTTTGCCGATGTCTGGAAAGAGAATATGTATGGGGATATTCCTTTAGATATACAATAACATACGTATTTCTTCTCAATCCTTTAATCTTCCTGCATTTGTCGTCTACCTCCCCATCAGCCTGCAAAGACTATGGGCCGGCCTGTGGCCCGGGGAGCTCGACACAATCCCGCCAGAGAGAGAGAGAGAGAGAGGGAGGTGCGTCACAAGACGGAGGAGCAAGGTGGGGGAAACCGCTTTACTGTTAGGGGGTCATACTGAAGCTTCAAGGGGGAACCACACCTTGCCGTACTCGCTTGCTGTCCTCGCCAGGAGAACCCGCTTAGAACTAAGGAATGTCGTTAGCCATAGGGGCCCGGCGACGAGGCCGGGATGCGCGGGTTTAGAGTTCTAAGCGGGGGATTCCTACACGAGAACACAGAGCAAACCGAGTAATACACTGCCGTAGTCTGGACTAACCCCGATACCGGCCACTCACTAACACAGAGGGAGGGCCGGGCGGGCCTAAGGCCTGGGGGGCGCACGCGACCCCTACGCCCTGCAGAAAGAAAGAAAGGAGGTGCGTGCGGTGCAGGGACTAAGGAATGAGCCTAAGAGGGCGCGGCAACGAGGCCGGGATGCAGGATGGTGTAAAGGGAGGGTGGTTCAGCACCGTACGCACGCCACTAGTTGCACCAACCAACGGGGGAAAACCCTCCACAGATCCCAATGCCTCCTTCCACCAACAAGGCAAGAAGGGGGGGGCCTAGGCCCGGGTCTGTTCGCCGACTCAACCCCAGCAGCGAGCGAGCGAGAGAGGCGGAGAGACAGGGTCGCCGAGTCTTCTGTAGCTGAAGAAGAGAAGAATTGCCTCCGACAAATAGAGCCATGCTGGTGTACTGATGGCATGGGGTGGGTTTTTGACAGTATGTGAGCGGACAGTAGCGTGTGCAGTCCATGGAATCTGCACGAACTCAGAATTCTGAGGAAAGACGGTGGCCGATAGATCCCACCAAAGCGGAATGACGCTTCGTCGGCGCTTCGACAACGCTTGAGTCCGCCACATGCCTGTATTTTTCGGGTACAGGCATGCTGTGCAGCTATTCTACGTGAAGCTGCTACAGAAAATTGCAAATCCGTGTTTCACAAGCACAGCTGGAGCTCGACTGGATGAAGAGCTCTCTGCGGTGTGCCACAACGGCGTGCTCGTGATGTTGCTTAGAAGGTACCGACTGGGAGGAAGCCCGCATCATCTGCATTGCCACCTTGCTAGCTTCCTGCGTGCTCCTGGTTCTACAGTGTTGCGGTTCAGGTGCTAAGGAACCGCTGGACCCATCAAAACATGTACAAGTAGCCATGCTGAACGGATGAATGTGAAAGTCAGAGTGATTCAACTGAGTGATTGGGGTGCTAAGCTGGCCCTCGTCAACATGATTATCATGACCTTGGGATGTGATAGCTTGATCCGATAGTCCTCAGAACAGCAAACACCTTTTCGAGTAGCCTGCTGGCATGAGTCACCTTGCATCGACGAGCGATGGAATGACGGGAGTGCGGCAGTGATGGAAGGCAGTGCGTTTGTGCAGAAGTAGAGTGTCGCCATAAAACAAGTCGCCCGACAGCCGCACTTCTATTCACAAGTTAGTGTCCTGTTTCGGAAAAATTACAGACTCGAACGCTTGCGACAGGCACTCGGAAGCAAGTCGGGTCAGAGATCGATGACGCCTTTGAAGCGTTGCAGCTCGAAATTGCTCCCGGGCTGACATTATGGCTATGAGCTTGATGTAGAGCATTGGTGTGGGCACATGTCATGTGCATGTACAAGGAATGCTTTTTCGAAAGCGCCGTCAGCAAGCTGAAGCTGCTCAAAATTGCAATGGAGACGGAAGCGAAGAAGCCCACTGTGACTTCTCTGACTCTATACACGTTTCGCCCAACAGTTTTGGAAAGCAGCCCTGGGGCCCCCAGACCTCAGACACCACATGGCTAGTTCTTTCAAAACACACCACGCCCCACGAGTCCCGCCGTACTTGGGCAGTTGTGTGTTTCGCCGCAGCGTTCACGTCAACTCATGTATATCCAGTCCTATGAAGCATACGTTGCCACGTATGAGCAGACCCAAGCAGTTAACACCACATGCAATATGAGCCACCAACTTTACGACATCCCCAGCAGACTGCTGTTTTGAGAATTTTCACTTAGGGAACAGCGTAAACCTCTGCCAAGGTAACCCAGGAGGAGGAGTTCACGGCCGCCGATGATGCAGCTGCAGTTGCCCGCGAGTCTGGGAACTCAGAACTTGAGGTTCATACCTAGGACCTAGACCCAGGAGGCATTGTCTCTTCCGCAGCTCACCACACGACAGCATCGTAGGTCCTACGTGGTGGAGCTGGGGAGTAGCTGGGGTAATTTGTCTCGAAGCAAAGGGTTGCGGCCCGAAGCGGAGCTTCGACCAGCTTCCGAGGCCCTTTGCTCTTCAGGAGTACTGGAGCGCCCGTGCCGAGAAGCAGGAAGGAGCCCAAGGCGGCGCAAGCAGGCACAGACGGCAGGTGACAGCTACTAGTATCGTTTCCATTGTCGGTTCATGTCTGCTGCTTGGCAGACGCTTCGTGGGATACTCGGGTGCGAAGAAGGGTGTGGAGATCCGGCTTCATGGAAGGCTGGGCATGTCGGATCAAGCTTCTTAGCTTTCGGTCGCCATCGCGTTCCGCTTATGTCATTTTCGCATGTTGTCTTGTGGTCCGAAAGGACAGAGGCATGTTCATTGCCCGCTATGCAGTCGGACAGGTGGATGGAGCTTTCCACACAGACCGTTGGCGACGAGGACGGTAACATTCAAAAATCGATGTTCCTTGGACAGGTCGAAGTTGCAGACACAGTCCAAGCCCTTGTTCGCGACATGTGGGCGCCTTGCGCAAGGTTCCTCACGCTGACGGCTTCGCGAAAGATTTCTGAGAGGATCAATTCGATACTCAGTTGCCCAGAAGCCCTTCTGGGATCGGGAGGGGAAGTGCAGTGGGTCGACGGCTTTTCATTCATGTGCTTGACTTAGGAAATTGTTCAGCAGCTCCTTCCATCCGGGCAGCATGTTCCGGCTTGGCTGGGATATGTTCGGAGGTTTCCTCTTGCTTTGTGATGCGATACTTTCGCCGATCAACCTGGCATGGGAGTTGGACATGGGCAGTGAGACGGTCCTTGGTGTGCCACTCGCCAAGAAGATTGAGTCTTTCCTACTGCTACTACTACTACTACTACTACTACTACTACTACTACTACCACTACTACTACTGCTACTACTGCTACTACTACTACTACTACTACTACTACTAAAAATTTGCTGACTTTGGTGCCGTGATGGCTGAGATCTGTTGATGCGGCATTTTGCTGCCTAATTCATGGTGTATATGCCTCCTTTGAAAACATACT